GGGAAGAGTTGACACCTACACTACTCAAGCTATTCCAGAACATAGAAAAAGGTGGAATACTTCCTAATTCATTTTAGGAAGCAAGCATAACACTGATACCAAAACCAGAGGAAGACACCACTAAAAAGGAAAACTATAGACCAGTATCCCTCATGGATATACCAAAAACCAAACCAAACTCACTCCCATCAAGTTTGATCTCACTCTTCAACAAAATCCTAGCCAACAGAATCCAAGAACATATATAAAAAAAATAATAATACATCCTCATCAAGTGGGATTCATACCTGGTGTGCAAGGATGGTTCAATATCAGAAAAACAATCATTGTAATCCACCACATAAAACAAAACAAAAGAACCATGTGATCATATCAGTCAATGCAGAAAAGGCATTTGATAAAATCCAACATTCGTTCCTGTTCAGAACTCTCAGCAAAATAGGGATAGAAGGGAAATTCCTCAATGTAATAAAGGGCATATACGCAAAGCCAGTAGCCAACATTATTGTTAATGGAGAAAGACTCAAAGCATTTTCCTTACGAACGGGAACCAGACAAGTATACCTACCTTGTATGACCACATTTATTTAACATTGTATTGGAAATCCTAGCCAGAGCAGTAAGAGAAGAAACAGAAATAAAAGGCATCTGCCAAGGGGGCAGTGAGGCCACATCTTCTGACCTCCTGTAACCCCACAAGAGGAAGACAGAATCACTATCAGTAGCCCAAGCCCTATTCCTGCAAGGCCAGACATGCTGGCTCCCTCTAGCCCTTTCATCAACCCTGACACCAACTGTTCCTCCCACAGTACTCACCACCTCTCTGCTGGATTCGATAATTCGCTGTAGTGTACACACACATCTGACAGATTATGGGGTTTATTATGGAAGCAACAGACTACAATTTAAGTTCAGGAATTCAGTCTCTCGGAGCCCACCATCTCTCAGCCAACAGTCCCTCTCAGTCTCTTTCCCAGCAAGGCACATCTCTCACGTCTCTCTCAGCAGTGTGTGTCTCTCACATCTCTCAGCTGGCAGTGAGACAGTTCTTCTGCCTCTAGGAGGGCTCCTTTTGAGCCTAGCAGAGTGGCAAACTAACCAATTCCAACATCAGAGTTCTACACACCTGAGAGAGAGGGAACTTTCCAGAAAATTAATTTGTGCTGCTCCCATCAGAAATACTCCAGGTGGATAACAATCAGGAGCTACTCAGTTGCTCATGGCAAATTCCACCATGGAGCTTACAAAGACTTATGGCTAGGAAAGCCACACTATGTAATTTCCTACAACTCAGCATCCACATTGACAAAGAGGAAGTGAAGCTTTCTGTATTTGCGGATGACAGGATCCTATACATAGAAAACTCAACAGTCTCAGCAAAAAAAAAAAAAAAAACCTACTGGAACTAACAGGTTCAGCAAAGTGGCAGGATACAAGGTCAGCATACAAAAATCAGTTGGATTCCTCTACAGCAACAAAGAGACCTCTGGAAAAAAAAAAAAGGAAAACAATGTCATTTACAATAGCTACCAAAAAGATAAAATATCTAGGAATAAATCTTACCAGAGACGTAGAAGACCTATACAAAGAAAACTATAAAACAGGAGCTCTGGTAGCATAGTGCCTAAGGCACTTGATTGCTAACCAGAAGGCTGGTGGTTCAAACCCACCAGCCACTCCTCGGAAGGAAGGTTGGGAAATCCTACTTCCGTAGTGACACTGCCTCGAAAACCCAAGGAGGGGTCGCTATGAGTCAGGGCTGACTCGACGGCAAATAATAACAACAACAACACCAACAAGAAACTACAAGGAATCTATCTACATAAATGGAAGAACCTGCCTTGTTCATGGATAGGAAGACTGAATATTGTGAAAATGTCAATACTATCCAAAGCAATCTATACATGTAATGCAATCCCAATCCAGATACCATCAACATTTTTAAAAGATAAGGAAAAATCAGTTACTCACTTCATATGGAAAGGAAAGAGACCTTGCATACTGTAGAAGAGGGAGCTCTGGTAGCATAGTGGCTAAGATACTTGCCTGCAAACCAGATGGCTGGCGGTTCAAATCCACCAGCCACTCTTTGGAAGGAAGGTTGGGCAATCCTACTTCCGTAGTGATACTGCCTTGGAAACCCAAGGAGGGGTTAGACTCGACAGCACATAACAACAACAACAACAACAACAACTGTAGAAGAAGAACAAGGTAGGAGGTATTATACTCCCGGATCTCAAAGCCTACTATACAGCCCCAGTAGTCAAAACAGCATGGTATTGGTACAATGATAGACAGACAGACCAATGGAACAGAATTGAAAGTCCAGAAATAGACCCATCTATCTATGGACAGCTGTTCTTTGACAAAGGACCAAAACCCATTAAATGGGGAAGAGATAGTCTCTTTAACAGATGGTGCTGGCAAAATTGGATATCCACTTGCAGAAAAATGAAACAAGACCCATACCTCACCCCATACACAAAAACAAACCCAAGTTGGGTCAAAGACTTAAATCTAAAACCAAAAATTATAAAGCTCATCCAATATAAAATAGGGACAAACTTAGGGGCCCTAATTTATGGCATAAATTGGCTATCAAGCATAAACTAGAATGCACAGGAGGTGGAAGAGAAACCAGATGACTGGGACCTTTTAAAAAAATTAAAATTCTTATGTGCATCAAAAGAGTTCTCCAAAAGGGTAAAATGAGAACCTACAAATTGGGAGAAAATATTTGCCTATGATATATGTATAGAGAACTTCAACACCTCAGCACCAAAAAGAAAAACAATCCAATTTAAAAATGGGCAAGCGATATGAACAGACACTTCACTAAAGACGATATCCTGGCAGCCAATAAACACATGAGGAATTACTCACGATCCTTAGCCATTAGGAAGGTGCAAATCAAAACAACGATGAGATATCATCTCACCCCAGCTATAATAGAAAAGTTCAACAGTACAGAAAATAACAAATGCTGGTGAGGTTACAGAGAGATTGGAGCTCTCATACACTCCTGGTGGGAGTGCAAAATGGTACAACCATTACGGAAAATGGTATGTTGTTTCCTTAAAAAACTGAAAGTAGAAACACCATTTGGACCAGCAATTCCATTACTAGGACTATATCCTAAAGAGATGAGAGACAGAACACAGACATATGCACACCCATGTTCATTGCAGTACAATTCACTATAGCAAGGAGATGAAAACAACCTAAATGCCCATAAACAGATGAATGGATAACCAAATTATGATACATTCACACAGTGGAATACTGGAATACTACGCTACATTAATGAATAATAAAGAATATGCGAATCATTTCACAATGTGGATGAACTGGAGGTTATTATGCTGAGTGAAACAATTCAGTCACAGAAGGACAATATTGTATGAGCCCATTACTGTAAAAAGTCAAGGAAGGATTTGCTTACAGAGGGGAACTCACTGTTGGTTACTGGGAATGGGATGGAAGGGGAGGGGAGGGGAAAATTTTGGACTAGTTGGGGGCCACATGCTGTATTGGGTAAGGGGAGGGATGGTATGGAAAGAGTCTGTGACCAGCATGATAACAATGGTGAAAGAGAGGACACCAAATTTTGCTCATAAGATACAGTTGACAGAGGCTAATACCAGTATATCCACAATAATGCATTACTACTAACACCAAACACCAGGCTACAGATAAATGTATAAACCACTGAGAAGATCAGATGGGAGTCATTGAACATGAATATACTCTAGACCAGTGATGGATTCAGCTGAGGATAATCTTACACAGGTACTTGTTGTTATGTGCCATCAAGTCGGACCTGACTCATAGCGACCCCTGCTTGGGTTTCCGAGGTGGTATCACTAAGGAAGTAGATTGCCTAACCTTCCTTCTGAGGAGTGGCTGGTGGGTTTGAACCGCCAGCCTCTGGTTAGCAGTCAAGTGCCTTAGGCATTATGCTACCAGGGCTCCCACACAGATACTAGTACTACAAAATAACCACAATCATTACAGAAGCCACAGAAAACTGACTTGGAGTAACCCCTCATAGACAGCCAGACACCTTGGGAGAGAGCACCGCTAGATCTGCCGACTCAGGACCATAGTATTTGGGGACACCAGGATCAGTTGGCACAATATAATACATAAAAGTCTTGTTCCACAGCCTATGTTGTTGAGTAGCAACTTGGGTCTTAAAAGCTTTTGAGCGGCCATCTAAGATGCAGCTAGTAGTCTCCTCTTATCAGAAGTGAAGAAGGATGAAGAAAACCAAGGAAATTTGGAAACAGTCAGCTCTAGGATATAATGGACCTCAAGACCAGAAGAACCAGATGGTGCCTGGCTACCTGTGCCAATCACTGGGGAAGGGAGCAAAATTTGAGATCCTTGATAGAGTGGGAGGAAAAACATGGAACAAAATCCAAAAACACGATAATGACCAGATTTACTGGTCAGACGGAGTCTAGTGGCACCCTCAATACGATCTCCCTGGGATACACTTCAGGCCTGGCATAAAACTCACTTCCAAGGACTGGCTGTTAGCCCAGCAGTAGTAAGACTTACATGCAGAACACCCAACCCAGGGTGATGCACCCACCTACTCTGCAGAGATACATCCCTTGGAGCAATCGGCCATGAGGCACCAGAGTGGCAGTATGCACATGGAGGAAAAGCTAGACAGACAGAAGTCATAACTAAGAATGGCACAGATATGG